ATATTATACTTATTATCCTTAATTAATTTTCCTATTGGTAACTTTTTCCATTAATTCATATTCTCTAATTTCTAGAGAAAGAAGAAGAAATTATGATAAATTTGATCTAATTACCCAAGTATCATTTTTTTTTTGGTATTAAAAATTATCTAAATATCATGAATGAAATGATAATGCAACTAAAAATATTAAAAGATGTGATATTATGACATAAACATAATAACTTAGTGAAAGATGCTCTTGAAAGAGCAATTTCATCATTAAAAAAATGAATTAAACTACTTGATAATATTTTAAGATGATTATAAAATTAAAACTTTATTTTTCGAGAAATTTAAATATTTATCGTTTAATATTTTTATTGTTAATCAATTTATTATTATTTATAACTTTTTTTCTTAATTTAAATGTTTGTGATTAAAACTATAAAGTATTTAGTGTTAATGAATTACAATATTTTAATTAGATTTAGATATATATAATTTTATTTGCATATAATAAAATTTATGAAAAATAATTATAAAAAATGAAAATAAGGTCAACTCGCGGGTTAACCCGTAACCCGTTAAGGTTGAACTTTTTTAACCCGTAACATGTTTATAACCTAACCCGTAACATGTTTATAACCTAATCCGTATAACTCGTCACCTGAGTTAACCCGACCCCAAACCCGAACCGATCCAAACCCGAACCAATCCGAACCGACCGCTTGCCAGGTTTAGTGGCGCTATTGCCACAGCTGCAACTGTTAACAGCACACTTTTTTTAACTATTTGACTAGTATACCCCTCATTTGAATCCAACTCACAGCAATAACCACCTTTCTCCCGTTCTCTCCAGATTCCAGAACCTGTTTGCATGCTTCATTCCCAGAGAATGGCCATCAAAAAATTCTTGCCTTTTCTAATTGACTTCGCTGATTCTTTCTCCCTTATTTCTTTGATTTCTATTTACCGCATTCACTTTCCTTTCCCCTTCATTGTTCTTCCCCCTCTGTAATCATTCCCACAGCTTTTTCCTTTTTTTAGTTTTTATTTTTGTGGAAATAAAGAAGAAGAGGATGGTATTTTGAAAAATACTCAATTGTATTCCCTTGATTCATTCTGTACAAGTAACTGATATATATACAAATGCAGGAACATAGGCAAGGAAATGGAGATTTCCAAGAAAAGTCATGTTTAATATTTATTTAAAAGTCATCAATCTCATATAGTTGAGACTTTTTTCCATGCTTCTGTCTAATTCCTCTTAATTTTCTCCTTATAACATTCATTTGTGCTTTCATGCAGAAACTGAGCAGGGCGTGGCACAGGCAATTATTCGCTCTGTCATTGACTTTAAGAGGGATCCCTGGCCCACGGTTTCTGACAATGCTAAGGACCTCGTGAAGAAAATGCTTGATCCCGATCCAAGGCGGCGTCTTACTGCTCAAGGAGTTCTCGGTAATATTCTGTTACACTAAAGGATATGCTTTATTTATGGCGATATTTTTTGCCAAATTGGAAATCATTCGAAACTCTTATGTGCAGAGCATCCATGGTTACAGAATGCCAAGAAAGCTCCAAATGTCCCTCTGGGTTAAACTGTGAAAGCAAGGCTGAAACAATTTTCTGTAATGAACAAGCTGAAGAAAAGAGCCCTAAGGGTAACTGTTCAAATCTATCAATAATACCCTCAAACAAAATTTTTTAGACAAGTTAGGCTCTTGCTTATTGACTATGCACATCTCTAGGTAACTAAGCTGAGCTCTTGTTTATACCCTGATACATCAGGTGATCGCTGAGCATCTGTCGGTGGAGGAAGTCGCTGGCATAAAAGATGCCTTTGCAATGATGGACACCAAGAATAGAGGGAAAATAAATCTTGAAGAGCTAAGGATTGGATTGCAAAAGCTTGGGCAACAGATTCCTGATGCAGATCTTCAAATCCTGATGGAAGCTGTAAGCACTAATTTGTGCCTGGTGCAAAAGTTTTTGCTTTTGATCCTTGCATTCAGAATTTATAAATATGAATATGATTGGATTAAATGGAAGTGAATACTCTGCAAAATTACTCCTCATTTTTGAACTTCCACCTTGCCCCCTGACGTTTGAAATCTGTTAACAAAAGGCCAATGCCTCGTTATGGTTGGTTTACAATTTCTAACAAATGTTTCACTTGCAGTGTTTCAACTATAAGAACTCAATGTAAACGTTCATTTTCACAGGCTGATGTTGATGGCGATGGAGCTCTGAATTATGGAGAGTTCATGGCAGTTTCTGTCCACCTGCGGAAGATGGCCAATGACGAGCACCTACATAAAGCTTTTGCATTTTTTGATCAAAATCAAAGTGGTTACATAGAGATTGAAGAGCTGAGAGATGCCTTAAATGATGATGTTGACACCAGTAGCGAGGAGGTTATCAAT